ACACATACACATGCACACACATACACACACACACATACACACACACATACACACACACACAAATACACACATACACACACACACACACACACAAAAATGCATCATTTAGCTGGGGGCATGGTGTCTCAAGCCTGTAACCCCAGCACTTGGAAAACAGAAAACCACAGGGAGTTAGTTCCAGGCTATTCAGAGTTATGTATAACAAGACTCTGTCTCAAAAACAAACAAAAAGCACCGCTCGGTGTAACAGTGTAACATCTATTCTGGGGCATGAAGGACAGAAACCCATTCTAGACTACACGCATAATCAAAGCTATGAGAGCAGTACTTGCATGGAGAGGGGTGTCATGAAGGGGTTAATGAAGAAGGGGATCAAGATTCAAGGGGTCTCCAGGTGGGGAAGCAAGTTGGGGGGCATCATCAGGGCCAGGGGTGAAGGAAGGAACTTGCCAAAGGAGGCTGTAGCTTGCATGGGACAAATGGCCAAAGCCCATTGATCCCTTCTGGGAAGCATTACTCTAACCGTCATGATCAGAGGCCATGACCAAAGTTACAGATGGTACAGATGGGAAACACAGCTGTTTCCCATATCGAGGCTGGAGTCACCCTGAAAGCAGAGGCTTCCCAAAAGAAGCATCCCAAGTCCTGGGGCTAATATGGATTGGGATTCCAAAGAAGAAAGAATCCTTGACGCAGGGCAGTGGTGGTGCGCGCCTTTAATCTCAGCATTTGGGAAGTAGAGACAGGTGGATCTCTGTGACTTCAAAGCCAGCCTGGTCTATAGAGCAAGTTCCAGGACAGCCAGGGCTACATGGAGAAAGCCCATCTCAAGAGCCCAAAGAAGTGGCAGGGCAGGGAGTGTCCTCCAATGTTACACTGGTGCATGCTGGATGTCACAGTGGCCAGTGTAAGGTATCTATTAGGAGAGCAGAGGGGACTGTGATGTCCTCATCAGGTACAGAGTGGAAAATGAGTGTCCTTCTGAGGCCTTGCCATTTTGAATTAGTCTCTTCTCTTGAATCTCCCTATGACTATCCCCAAGCACAGGGGCCCCTGGTGGTGTATAAGAGTGTAAGGATATGGGCTTAGGCTGATGGATCTGTCTGTATGAGACAGGGTCTTACTGTGTAGCCCTGACTAGCCTGGAACTCTCTAAGTAAACCAGGCCAGCCTTGAACTCACAGAGATCCACCTGCCTCTGCCTTACCAGCACTGGGATTAAAGGCATGCATACACTATCACACCCAGTGCTAGCTAGTGTCTTACACCGTTTGGGATACCTAACCACCTTAACTAGGGCCTGTGAAGGCTCAGGTTGCTTCAGGGTTGTAGTCAGTCTGAAGGACCAACACAAAGTGGGCAGGGTTACAAAGTAGTCCAGAGTTCCAGGTTTCTGAGCCAGGACCCGTATAGAACTATCTCATCCACGGCTTTGCCCCTACCAAGGAGTCCTGGAGGCCCAGTTTCACTCTTAGCCTTGGTTTTAATCTTGCAGTTGCCCCCATAATCCTTCTGGAGTCACACTGTGCAGCGGCCAGAGACACCGTGCAGTGCCTATGTGTGGTAAAATCCAACCCGGAACCCTCCGTGGCCTTTGAGCTGCCTTCCCGCAACGTGACCGTGAATGAGACGGAGAGGGAGTTTGTGTACTCAGAGCGCAGCGGCCTCCTGCTCACCAGCATCCTCACACTCCGGGGTCAAGCCCAAGCTCCACCCCGCGTCATTTGTACCTCCAGGAACCTCTATGGCACCCAGAGCCTCGAGCTGCCTTTCCAGGGAGCACGTGAGTGATGTGATCTGGGGGTGGGAGCCACTGGAAGGAGGGGGGCGCTCTTGGATCCGACACACCCCTACTCTTGCTACCGATCCAGCCACTGAGCATGGCACTGATCATGGCTACGCAGATTGATAATAGAGCGAAAGATGTTATCCCCCAGTGAGGGACTGGGGCTGTGGCTCAGTGGTAGAGCCCCTGCCTAGGATCCCCCGATGAGGAGCTGGGGGCGTGGCTCAGTGGTAGAGCCCCTGCCTAGGATCCCCCAGTGAGGAGCTGGGGGCGTGGCTCAGTGGTAGAGCCCCTGCCTAGAATCCCCCAGTGAGGGGCTGGGTGCGTGGCTCAGTGGTAGAGCCCCTGCCTAGGATCCCCCAGTGAGGAGCTGGGGGCGTGGCTCAGTGGTAGAGCCCCTGCCTAGGATCCCCCAGTGAGGGGCTGGGGGAGTGGCTCAGTAGTAGAGCCCCTGTCTAGGATCCCCCAGTGAGGGGCTGGGGCCCAGGGGTCAAGCACTTACTTAGTACTTAGGAGGCCATGGGCTCAAACCCTGGTACTAAAAAAAAAAAGGGGTGGGGGGAAATAAATAAACCCTTAGTTTGTAATGATGAGTCGAGGCCACCTAAAAATTTGGGCTTTAACTCCCTGGGGTATCCTGAGAATGCAGGCATCCTCATGCCTACCAATAGCCCTGAGGGGTCCTTGTCCCGTTCTCTATACCTAGACCGACTGATGTGGGCCAAAATCGGTCCTGTGGGTGCTGTGGTCGCCTTTGCCATTCTGATTGCCATTGTGTGCTACATCACCCAGACAAGAAGAAAGTGAGTACCTGCCAGTCTGATCTGGGGACATGGAGTCTCCAAGTGACTGGTAGGAGAATGTGGAATGTGGGAACTGGGATAGTTCTGTAAGTCCAGGGAGGGCAGTTGCCGGATGAGAACGTCTCCCAGGGGACACATATGTCCACGTTCTATGCTCCAGCCTCCTGTCCTGCTTGAAGCTCCCCACCTGGCGTAAACACGGGAGCCCTGGAAGCAGGGAAGAAAGGAAGCCAGCCATTCGGGTGTGTGGAGAGGGTGCCCCAGGAGTCCCCAGTAAAATTGATGTTTCATGCCTCCCTGCAGAAAGAATGTCACTGAGAGCCCCAGCTTCTCAGCGGGAGACAACCCTCACGTCCTGTACAGCCCGGAATTCCGAATCTCTGGAGCACCTGATAAGTACGAGGTGAGAGGACCACACCCCGGTAGCTCCCACAGGGAAGGACAGAACGGCAAGGTTGCTAAGGGTGGGAATGGGGCGAAAGGGAGGCCAGACTGGGTGGGTGGGTGTAGGACTGGACTGGGACTGGAGTTGGTGGGGGGGGAAGAGGCTCCTTTGCTCAAGCTGGCAGGAGGGTTGAGAGGGTGGGGCCTGGGTAGCCCCGCCCTCCCTGCCTGTGCCTGTGACTGCGTTTCCTTCTTCAATAGTCCAGAGAGGTCTCTACCCGGGATGGTCACTGAGAGCCCCAGGAGGTAGGTTCCGGGGGCCTCAGTGTGCCAGCCTCCAGGCCCTAACTGGGCCTCGGGGTTGGTGTGCATGTATGTGTGTGTTCCAGTCAAGCGTCCGCGGCGCTCTTTGGTTAATCCCAGCCTTGCTCAGCAGCCCCGGCCTGGTCTATTCTGTTCCTTCGCTGATCCCTTTTTTTCTGTCTGTGCCCACTGCCCTATTGTGTGTCCAAATGCTGGTGGGGTGGGAGGGTCAGGATTAGAGAGCTGAAGAGGTGGGGCATCACACCACCCACATCCCCTCAACTGAGAGAAACCCTGCCATAGCCAAGCGGGAAGGTTTACCGAACGAGACTCTTGGAAACTTCCAAAAGGGTGATCCAACCAAGATTTACTCTAGAGAGGTGTTCTGGGTTCAATCAGGCACCCCTAAAGTTATTGTCTCAAAAAGTGCTTCTTGGAACCTGGGATTCCTAAGCAAGCATCAGGGTTAGCAATGAGAGATGGTGGTTTTACTGGTGTCAGCACTTGCAAAGGTTCCCCACCCCCACCCCTGACCCTGGCCCCTGAGAAAAAGGTGCCAGCAGCCCAGTCTTTGCATGGGATAGTCAGAGGAAACCAACCATGCTGATGGGCTGTCTTCTCCTCTTCTTAGAGTGAGAAGCGCCTGGGATCTGAGAGGAGGCTGCTGGGCCTTCGGGGGGAACCCCCAGAACTGGACCTCAGTTATTCCCACTCAGACCTGGGGAAACGACCAACCAAGGACAGCTACACCCTGACAGAGGAGCTGGCTGAGTACGCAGAAATCCGAGTCAAGTGAGGAAGCTGGGGGGCTGGCCCTGTGGCTCACCCCCCCCATCAGGACCTTTGCTGGCCCCCACTGGCTGTGGGCTCCCTTGCTCTTGAGAGGGGTAGGAGTGGGGGCGGGAAGGGGAAGGGGCAGGGCAGGAAACAGTGAGGTCCTGGGGGCCTGTCCTCCCGTCCTTCCCAGCTGCTTCCCCTTGCCAAAATCCCGTGCCTATGTTACCGCCCCCCCTTCCTTTTAACCTCCGCTGTTGAGAGGGGTGCTCTGTCTGTCACATTATTTATTGCTCTCCCTTTCCTGGTCTCCTGTCCCCTTACCTGGCCCCAGGACCTGTACAAAAGGGACATGAAATAAATGTCCTAATGACAAACGCCAGTCTAGACCCATCCTTTGGAGGAAAGAGGTGTATTAGCAATACTTTTCTCCTTGCTGCAACAAAATCCGGACAAAAACACCTTTGTAGTTACTTTTCTGTTCCTTTGGGGGGGAAAAATCACATAGCCATAAGCAACTTAGGGAAGAAAGGGGTTTCTTTTGGTCTGTCTTTAAAGATTTATTCATTTCATCCTATGTGCACGTGTGTTTTGCATGCATGCATAGAAATATACCACATCTAGGGCCTGCAGAGCCAGAAGAGACCATCAGGTCTCCCAAAACCGGAGTTACAGACAGTTGCAAGCTGTGATACAGGTGCTGGGAATGGAACCAATGCCCTCTGGAAGAGCAGTGAGTGCTCTTAACCACTGAGCCATCTCTCCAGCCCCAAGAAAGGGTTTGTTTTGGCTTATGATCCCAGTATAGACTTCATCCTGATAGAAAGACCTGGCAACAGACATGAAAGCAGGAACAGGACACTCCACACACAGGAAGGAGAGAGAGAGGGAGGGAGGGAAGGAGGGAGAGAGAGAAAGAGAGAGAGAGAGAAAGAGAGAGAGAGAGAGAGGAAGGAGAGGAGAACAGGAAGTAGGGTTCACACCTCCACAATAAACATCACCAATTGGGAACCATGTATCCAAGGACATGAGCCTATGGGGAAATTCTTTCATTCGAACCGCCCCAGCAACTTAAGGAAGAAAGTGTATTTTGGCTTGTGGTTTGAGGGTGTAGTCCATCACCGAAGAGAAGGCATGGCAGTGGGACCCTGAGACAGCTGTTCACGTGGCAGCCACAGTCAGGAAACACCGAGGGAGGACTGCTACTTACCACCCAGCTTACTTTCTCTCGATTTGGTCCAGGACCACAGCTCACATTCAGAGCAGGCCTGCATAGCTCTACCTAGAAATGTGTCGTCTCCTAGGTGATTCTAAACCCAGGCAAGTCGACAATGAAGATTAATCATCACTGGGAGTCTGCCATCTTGTTTCTGGAATGATCTCAGAGCTTTGCCTTTACCTCTGCTGGGCCCTGCATTGGGGCGAGATCCTGCGCTCACACATGGCTAGCTAAGGGCTTGTCCTGTTCTGCCGCCTAGTTGTCATCTAAGGATTGGAGCTGGCCTTTGTGACTTTATGGGTTCTTTTTCCTCCTCTTTTATCCCCCTGTTTCACCCCCTAACACTAGACAGGAGAGAAACAAGGATAGAGAGGAGAGAAGAATTAGGAAAATCCCTGAGTCTAATTTCTTTCGTTTCTTCTTTGACCACAGCTACTAACGAACCGTAACCAACCTCCTGGAGTGATCAACAACCATTCCCCTCCTCACCTCTCAGGGCTCTAGCATTTATACACCCTCTGAAAAGCTCCCAGAATTCCAAGGGTCACACACTTGCAGAAACTATCTGCAGCTAGCCAAACAACACCTTTGCTAGAGCATGAGGCAAATCATAGTCAGCTGCTTCGGACAGTCAGCCCCACATCCCCACATCTGGGCTTAAAATGAAAGCACATTCTTGCAATATTTCTTTGTTTTTTTTTTTTTTTTTTATTCCGAACTTCTTGAAATTGTCACTACGAAGATCCTAACTTCTGCGTCAGCTGTGTGTGCTCACGCTGATCACCTGGCAGTTTCTCAGACTCTTACCAAATAGGGAGAAATCTGCCCCTTCTGCATAATTCAAACACCCGGGTGCTGCAGTCCCCACCATCCCCTGCTGTGGGCACCTGGCTGGCTTTATTCCCCCATCTCCCTTTACCTATGGTCCTTGCAGATAAAGTGGGAACCACAGACCCAGCACCTCACAGGTGTGTGTTGGCTGCACTGCTGTCCCCGTTCCACTACTCTGCACTTCAGATCTTCAGCTGTCCAAACAAATATTAGGCCCTCGCTGTATACTGAACCCCTTTAGGAAGATGGGGCTGTTGGGAAAAGGATAAATTTCCTACACACACACACACACACACACACACACACACACACAAAGGGCTATGAAGGGGTTCTGTAACTCTAATGGGGAGATGGGTACAAACATCTATTCACCCTAGACAGGGCACCCAGAACAGACCAAAGAAATGGCCTGACCCCAGCTCAGTGAATCAAGAACTGACTGTGGTGACCTGGAGACAACTGCATTGTTGAAAAGCCCAGCATGAGTGGTATCTCACAAAAGCTGCATGCCTGGGTCTTGCAGGCAGCCAGTATGGCTGGCCAGAGTCTCTTCTCCCCAGCAATTGTTACTGCTTTATAATCTTACAGAGAAAAGGCGTGCACCACCACCGCCCGACCTTTCTTTCTTTCTTTCTTTCTTTTTTTTTTTTTTGAGCCTGGGGTTTGAAGTGGCCTCTCTAAATCTCCTCTCTCGCCGGTACCTCATAGGGTCCAGTTTTGAGCCACGAGCTTTGTCTCCAGCACTGCTCTGTCACCACTGTACCCCCCACCATTTTGGGTTGGAACCACCAGCCATGCACAGGGTCCCAGGTCCTCGCCCACTCTTGGACAGCTTCCAGTCTTGCAGGTCGAGGACATGAAGTCAACAGGCTTATACAGGAGATGTGTGGGTCTTTCAGAGCAGGGGACAGGAGTGAGGCTTAGGGTTTTAGGGGTCAGGGGCCTGCAAGAGAGTTCCAACTGTGTCAAGAACCTCTTCTACAAGTGGTGGCACAGCTTGCAAAATCCCAGGGGATAAGCTGGGTGTGGTGGCACATGCCTTTAATCCCAGATTAATCCCAGAAGCAGGAGGAACATCTCATCATGAGTTTGAGGTCAGCTGGACTATATGACAAGACCCTACCTCAACCCCAACCTCAGGAGCCAGAACAAGGGCAGCAAGGCAAGATGAAGCTGGGGCAAATTTGTCTTTTGAGACAGCTGGGGTGGAAGTTTGGTCCAATTCTCACACGCACACCACTTGTTGGTGGGCACGCCCTGACACACCTTACCAACAGACCCTGGCTCCTGCTGGTCTGGGCCAGTAGAAGTGCATCCTGAGGACTTTACCCTAGGGAGAAGAGCAATATCAATAAACAGGGTTGGGGGGGGGGATAACCTCCACCTGACCAAAGTACAGTCTAGAGCAGTGGTTGTCAACCTTCCTGAGGCTGTGACCTTTTAATACATTTCCTCATGTTGTGGTGACCCCCACCCCACCCCGACACACACACCGTGAAATTTATTTCATCGCTACTTCATAACTTTAATTTTGCTACTTTTACGAATCATAAATATCTGATATGCAGGATATCTGGTATCTGATCACTTTCACTGCAACCTCTGTGAAAGATTGCTTGCCCCCTCCCCTCCCAAAGGGGTTGTGACCCACACGCCAAAAGCCACTAGTCTAGAGCCACACTGATGCAACAGATAAGTCTAGAAACGGTGTCCTTCTGGAAGCCTTATTTAAGGTCTATCAAAACAAAAGCATCATACTGAACTGGTAATCTCTTAAACGGTAAAAGCACAGGAAGAGATCAAATTTAAAAAGAAAGGTTAAGGGGCTGGAGAGATGGCTCAGTGATTAAGAGTACTGGCTGCTCTCCCAGCACCCATGGCGGCCCCATGAGCTACAACCGTCTGTAATTCCCGTTCCAGGGGATTCAGCACAGCACACATACATACATGTAGGCTAAACACACGTACACATTAAATAAAATAAATGAAGAGAAAGAAAAGTTAGGCCGGGCGGTGGTGGCGCACGCCTTTAATTCCAGCACTTGGGAGGCAGAGGCAGTCGGATTTCTGAGTTCGAGGCCAGCCTGGTCTACAGAGTGAGTTCCAGGACAGCCAGGGCTACACAGAGAAACCCTGTCTCGAAAAACAAAAACCAAAACCAAAAAAAAAAAAAGAAAAGTTAGAACCAATAACCTCAGCCAAAAGAGAGAAAAAAAATCAAGGCAATTGGGGTTGTGGTGCATTCCTGTCATGCAAGGCTGAGGCAGGAGGACCTGAGATCAAGGTCAACCTGAGCTACATAGTAATATGAGGCTACAATACAATACAATACAATACAATACAATACAATACAATACAATACAATACAATACAATACAATACA